AAGGGTTGACAACTGGTGTCGTGAAAACAGACTTGTTTTGAATGCTGCTAAGTGTCACGTTTTGTCGTTTACTTTAAAAACAGGGGTAATGATGTATGAATATAGTATTGGTGACAGGAAACTTGACAGACCTAGTACAATTAATGACTAGTAGTGTCCTTATGGGGATTGAATCTCAGTAGTTCTAAAATCGGCCACCAGAGGCGCTGGCGTCGCGCGCCATTGATGGGTTGGACGGAATCTGTATGCGAAATTGACGAGTTGGGGATGCCGCCGCTAGATGGCGCTGTACAAACCAAACGGAATCTATGTGTCATTGGACACGGGTTGGGCATCTCGCGCATAGATGGCGCCGATTTGTTGTCTGGCGCTGTACAAACCAAACGGAATCTATGTGTCATTGGACACCTGTCATTGATGGGTTGGGCATCTTGCGCATAGATGGCGCCGATGTCGCACCTGTCTGGTGTTGGCGTGGATTACGGGGGGCATTTAAAACCTGTATACAGGGGTGCATCGAAAAATAGCGGATCGATGGACCGACGGTATATCGTTAAATCGTATATAGCAAGGCGTGACCTAAATAGCGTGGTGGGCTCCTCTGGTCGGTCGGTCGGTCAGAATGTCTTATAACCTGTATACGATGTACTGTTATTATTATACAGGATGATACCGTTCAAAATGAAAATAGTATAATGGATATTTTATTGAAACATATAGTACGTATATATAACAATAAGGTTGATTGGTGTGTGTGTGTGTGTGTGTGTGTGTGTGTGTGTGTGTGTGTGTGTGTGTGTGGTGTGTGTGTGTGTGTGTGGTGTGTGGTGTGTGTGTGTGTGTGTGTGTGTGTGTGTGTGTGTGTGGTGTGTGTGTGTGTGTGTGTGTGTGTGTGTGTGTGTGTGTGTGTGTGTGTGTGTGGTGTGTGTGTGGTGTGTGTGTGTGTGTGTGTGTGTGTGGTGTGTGTGTGTGTGTGTGTGGTGTGTGTGTGTGTTGTGGTGTGTGTGTGTGTGTGTGTGTGTGTGTGTGTGTGTGTGTGTGTGTGTGTGTGTGTGTGTGTGTGTGTGTGTGTGTGTGTGTGTGTGTGTGTGTGTGTGTGTGTGTGTGTGTGTGTGTGTGTGTGTGTGTGTGTGTGTGTGTGTGTGTGTGTGTGTGTGTGTGTGTGTGTGTGTGTGTGTGTGTGTGTGTGTGTGTGTGTGTGTGTGTGTGTGTGTGTGTGTGTGTGTGTGTGTGTGTGTGTGTGTGTGTGTGTGTGTGTGTGTGTGTGTGTGTGTGTGTGTGTGTGTGTGTGTGTGTGTGTGTGTGTGTGTGTGTGTGTGTGTGTGTGTGTGTGTGTGTGTGTGTGTGTGTGTGTGTGTGTGTGTGTGTGTGTGTGTGTGTGTGTGTGTGTGTGTGTGTGTGTGTGTGTGTGTGTGTGTGTGTGTGTGTGTGTGTGTGTGTGTGTGTGTGTGTGTGTGTGTGTGTGGTGTGTGTGTGTGTGTGTGTGTGTGTGTGTGTGTGTGTGTGTGTGTGTGTGGTGTGTGTGTGTGTGTGTGTGTGTGTGTGTGTGTGTGTGTGTGTGTGTGTGTGTGTGTGTTGTGTGTGTGTGTGGTGTGTGTGTGTGTGTGTGTGTGGTGTGTGTGTGTGTGTGTGTGTGTGTGTGTGTGTGGTGTGTGTGTGTGTGTGTGTGTGTGTGTGTGTGTGTGTGTGTGTGTGTGTGTGTGTGTGTGTGTGTGTGTGTGTGTGTGTGTGTGTGTGTGTGTGTGTGTGTGTGTGTGTGTGTGTGTGTGTGTGTGTGTGTGGTGTGTGTGTGTTGTGTGTGTGTGTGTGTGTGTGTGTGTGTGTGTGTGTGGTGTGTGTGTGTGTGTGTGTGTGTGTGTGTGTGTGTGTGTGGTGTGTGTGTGTGTGTGTGTGTGTGTGTGTGTGTGTGTGTGTGTGTGTGTGTGTGTGTGTGTGTGTGTGTGTGTGTGTGTGTGTGTGTGTGTGTGTGTGTGTGTGTGTGTGTGTGTGTGTGTGCGTGTGTGTGTGTGTGTGTGTGTGTGGTGTGCGTGCGTGCGTGCTGGTGCGTGCGTGCTGTGCGTGCGTGGGTGCGTGCGTGCGTGCGTGCGTGCGTGCGTGCGTGCGTGCGTGCGTGCGTGCGTGCGTGCGTGCGTGCGTGCGTGCGTGCGTGCGTGCGTCGTGCGTGCGTGCGTGCGTGCGTGCGTGCGTGCGTGCGTGCGTGCGTGCGTGCGTGCGTGCGTGCGTGCGTGCGTGCGTGCGTGCGTGCGTGCGTGCGTGCGTGCGTGCGTGCGTGCGTGCGTGCGTGCGTGCGTGCGTGCGTGCGTGCGTGCGTGGCGTGCGCGTGCGTGCGTGCGTGCGTGGCCGTGCGTGCGTGCGTGCGTGCGTGCGTGCGTGCGTGCGTGCGTGCGTGCGTGCGTGCGTGCGTGCGTGCGTGCGTGCGTGCGTGCGTGCGTGCGTGCGTGCGTGCGTGCGTGCGTGCGTGCGTGCGTGCGTGCGTGCGTGCGTGCGTGCGTGCGTGCGTGCGTGCGTGCGTGCGTGCGTGCGTGCGTGCGTGCGTGCGTGCGTGCGTGCGTGCGTGCGTGCGTGCGTGCGTGCGTGCGTGCGTGCGTGCGTGCGTGCGTGCGTGCGTGCGTGCGTGCGTGCGTGCGTGCGTGCGTGCGTGCGTGCGTGCGTGCGTGCGTGCGTGCGTGCGTGCGTGCGTGCGTGCGTGCGTGCGTGCGTGCGTGCGTGCGTGCGTGCGTGCGTGCGTGCGTGCGTGCGTGCGTGCGTGCGTGCGTGCGTGCGTGCGTGCGTGCGTGCGTGCGTGCGTGCGTGCGTGCGTGCGTGCGTGCGTGCGTGCGTGCGTGCGTGCGTGCGTGCGTGCGTGCGTGCGTGCGTGCGTGCGTGCGTGCGTGCGTGCGTGCGTGCGTGCGTGCGTGCGTGCGTGCGTGCGTGCGTGCGTGCGTGCGTGCGTGCGTGCGTGCGTGCGTGCGTGCGTGCGTGCGTGCGTGCGTGCGTGCGGGCGTGCGTGCGTGCGTGCGTGCGTGCGTGCGTGCGTGCACACACACACACACACACACACACACACACACACACACACACACACACACACACACACCAATCAACCTTATTGTTATATATACGTACTATATGTTTCAATAAAATATCCATTATACTATTTTCATTTTGAACGGTATCATCCTGTATAATAATAACAGTACATCGTATACAGGTTATAAGACATTCTGACCGACCGACCGACCAGAGGAGCCCACCACGCTATTTAGGTCACGCCTTGCTATATACGATTTAACGATATACCGTCGGTCCATCGATCCGCTATTTTTCGATGCACCCCTGTATACAGGTTTTAAATGCCCCCCGTAATCCACGCCAACACCAGACAGGTGCGACATCGGCACCATCTATGCGCAAGATGCCCAACCCATCAATGACAGGTGTCCAATGACACATAGATTCCGTTTGGTTTGTACAGCGCCAGACAACAAATCGGCGCCATCTATGCGCGAGATGCCCAACCCGTGTCCAATGACACATAGATTCCGTTTGGTTTGTACAGCGCCATCTAGCGGCGGCATCCCCAACTCGTCAATTTCGCATACAGATTCCGTCCAACCCATCAATGGCGCGCGACGCCAGCGCCTCTGGTGGCCGATTTTAGAACTACTGAGATTCAATCCCCATAAGGACACTACTAGTCATTAATTGTACTAGGTCTGTCAAGTTTCCTGTCACCAATACTATATTCATACATCATTACCCCTGTTTTTAAAGTAAACGACAAAACGTGACACTTAGCAGCATTCAAAACAAGTCTGTTTTCACGACACCAGTTGTCAACCCTTCCAATGTTGCGTCGCAAGCGATGACAATCGTCAATGTTGGAGACTCTACAGAAAAGTTTCATATCGTCAGCATATATAAGAAAATCGACATCGATAACTTCTATTTGATCAGGCCCTGCAGTCATTTTTGGCTTAATTTTCTTGAGCGCCTGTAGCACATCGATTTCCTGTACACTAGGCATAGCTAGTGTAGTAGTGAAATGGTAGTCAGTAGAAAAATTAGATTGAACTGTTGGAGTATTATAGCTCCCACTAAAGTGTTCCGCAAATGCGCCAACAACATCATTAGGTGTATTCAATCTCAGACCATTGTACAGCATATCTTTCGGAATACCAGTGCAGGTTCTTTTTCTATTAACAAAAGACCAGAATTTTCCGGAGCTGTTGGATATTTCACACTCTAAAGAGTGAATGTAGCGACGATATGAAACAGCTACATGTTGCTTTATCTCTGAGCGAAGTCTTATAATTTTTTCTATATAATAAGTATCACCAGTGCGTCTGAAAGTCTTGAATGCCACCATTTTTTGTTTGAGGGTTCTAATGATATGGCTGTTTTACCAAGGAGGATACCTATTATTATAAGATATTCTAACTTTAGGAACACAACAATCAAGAATTCTATAGATTTCAAAATAGAAATATTCACAAGCTAAATCAACGTCACTAAAATTTTTCAAATCGCCCCAGCTAATATTCACAATCATTTCATAGAGCAGCTGAAAGTCAGCTTTCCTAAAATTATATGAACCTTTAAAGTCGCTATGCAACACGTTATTATGTTTGGTGGAAGGAAAATGACTCACAGTGACACTCAATGCAGGATGATGGGGATCCTCACACACTAACGCATCATCAGCATGTTCAACATAGCAAATGGCATTGCTCCAAATTAAATCTAGCAAATTTACACTGTCATAGTGTATGTAATTATACTGAATGACATTGAAAAATCTTGCTAAAGCATTTAAAGTGTTTACGTAACTATTTGATATACTATTTTCAAGATAATCAGCATATGATGTTATATTAAAGTCCCCAACAATGAAAATACTGCCAGTATGTAAAAACGCTAGACTATGTATCGCTCCCAACAAGATTTCATAGTTGGTAACGGTTACCTGAGGAGGTATGTACAGATTAATCATATATATTTTGGAGTAATGGACACTGACTTTAATTACTAAAATATCTATCTTTGGACTGACCTGGTTGAAAGGTGGGTACACATACATATATATCAATGGCAGATGACTTATATTCACTCCTAACAGCAACAGCCACTCCTCCACCTTTCCTCAAATTCACTGCTGAAAACTTACGATCAGATCTGTAAACTGAATAATTATTCGGAAAAACCTCACAACCATTGATATAAGTATCAAGCCACGTTTCTGTCAGTGTTATCAAAGAGTAATAGTCTTGTTGAGAAATAGAGTTGAATATTTCATTAGTTTTAGAACGCATGAGTGTTTTGATAATAAATCATAAAGTCTTTATCTCTATCAGCATCATGATCATGACTGTCTAGGCCTGAAGCAGTAGCTAGTTGCTATATGACAGCGAGTAAGTCTCTTCTCAGTTTTTCTGTAGCATTCGGGAAGGCAGTGCACTGATTTTTGTCCCAAGCTGCATGATTTATTGGAACATTCAGATTCGACTTAGAATTTAATTTGACACAGTTAGAACACTGCTTAGTTATTGATGTACACTGTTTAATCTCATGTTTTCCACTGCAGATTGGACAAGAAGCCTCATTCTGACAAGAAGCTGAGCCGTGATGGAACTCATTGCATTTAAAGCAACGAAATACCTCCACGGCATCAAAAACCTTACAGCAGTCATAACCGACTAATAAGTACCCTGCCTTCATGACCCTAACATAGGAAACTGTATCTATTTGTAAGACAGATTGGAAGATTATATTATTTTTTTTAACAGCATATGTTTTCAAAACTTTACACTCAACATCACCACAAAACACGTCAGGATTACCCTTCAGAAGGTAGCTACGTATCTGCTCATCGGAGTATTCGCCAGACAATCCAACTATTCGTACCCTAGGATTAATGCCAGCAACTTCTTTGATGACGTATGAATCACCTAACTTCTCTTTTGCAATGGAAAGCAGTTTTAAGTTATCCGCTTTGCTCTTATAACCAAGCACTATCCCACCTTCCTTGATATCACAAACTTTACCCAGATGAATGTTGGCTTCAACAGGATCAACTGACTTTAGAATGTCCGTCTTGGTTTGAGTTACTGACTGATTAGTATTTTTCGGACGAATAACAATGGCTGGTTGAGTTCTGTTACGCAGTACATCAGAATAACGAGGAGGATCAGCTGGAGGGTTAGTCTCCTTGACAGCATGGTTCAGCAGCTCATCCTTTATGGCAAGAATTTCATTTTTGATTTGCCCAAGTGAAGCATCAATTTTTTTCGACAGCACTGTATTGACGCTCTTTTCGTTAATAAACAGGCAGTTGCCTCTACATTCATCACATTTCCATGATAGACCAGGGACATTTTTTAAGACACTCAGTATATCAATGGAATTGGAAATACAGCTGGCATGAGCATTTTTTTACATGCCTCGCAAAAAACAGTAGGTTTTGTACGAGACACAGTAGTGTTACAATAAATGCAATTCACCATCTCAAACGTGCAGCATTACTGAAGCTACGTATCACGAAATCACTCCAAACAAACACGGACCCCACCTGCAGCACTGCAGAAAGGGCAGGTATAATCAGCACCTCAAATATTCCGCTAGTTTTTCTACAGGAACATGAAGCGATCAGAGACGAAATAAACACGTTCACTTATATGGAACCTCTCTCACTTTCCTGGAACGGACACAAGTTCTAACCTACCTCGGAGTAAATTGGAATACAAAAGAAGACCAGAAAAGCTTAACAGACGAAAAAATCCTGGATCTCGGAAAAAATATCGCAAAAAATAACAAAAAGAGGGACTTGAAGCTGGAAGCAAGCAAAATGCATAGTAGGAAAAAATGGAATTCGCCTCGTTTGTGATTCCTCTGGCTCGCTTATGTTGCCGGAGGTTGCAGCGAGCTCTAAGAGAACTTCTAGAAAATCGCCCCTATCACCAGATTCCGATATCGCTACAAGTAGCCCAAGTTCTTTGTTGGTGGTCGAACAGTCTAAATCAAAACAGCCCAATTCACTCAGAAGAACCAGAGGTCCATCTCATCACGGATGCCTCCGACACGGGTAGGGGAGCTCAGCTGGGAGACAACCTAGTAGCAGGACCATGGAAATCACCCCAACGACAGTGGCATATCAACAAGAAAGAGATGTTTGTTATATACCTAATGATGGAAAACAACATTGTACATCTGAGGAACAAATCAGTTCTAATTCAGACAGACAACAAAACAGTAGTATCTTATCTGAGACACCAAGGAGGAACCAAATCGATAACACTTCTAAAACTAACAGAAAATATCTTGGAACTAGCAAACCAACAAAATGTGACGTTAAGAGCAAAACACATTCCAGGACGCTACAATACAGTATCGGATCACCTGTCCAGAGGGAAGGGACTACTGGATTGGCACCTATCGAGTCACGTTCAAAAGATGATATTCAGGAGGTGGGGAACGCCATCCATCGATTTATTCGCAACAGAAAGATCCGCGGTGACTGCACGATTTGTCACACAGTTACCATACCAAAAAGCAGAGTTTGTGAACGCGTTTACCAGGAAATGGAACTACGAGCTCGCATGGATCTTCCCTCCACCTCCCCTGATTCCGCGGGTCCTTCAGCATTTGGATCGATGCAGAGGAACGTTCATTCTGATAGTCCCACGATGGGAAAAGGCCTTTTGGCGACCAGCCCTCAAGAAAAGAGCTACAGACCCACCCCTGATAATAGCGAACCTACAGGAACATCTTCTGGATCTGCAAACAAACCGGCCGCCACAGGGAGCCGACAACTTACTATATATTTGGAGGCATGGAAAACACGGGGTGGGCATCAATGTTAAAAAAATGGTCGGAGAGCGAGACCAGGCTATTAAAGGAGTCTTGGTGAAATTCGAGCCTAAAAACATACCCGACGGCATGGAAAACCTCGTGTGTCTGGGCTAAAAGCAAGGAGGTGTCCATCAATAACCCGAGAGCGATCGAAGTAGCCAAATATTTGTGTCATCTGCACATTTCGAAGAAGTTTGCTCATGCAACTTCTAGAATGGATACGATGTCATCCACCAGACATCAACAACTTATTCCAGGTTTCCAGACACTTCGCTATACTTCTACGATTATCGCCTGGAAGGAGGGTCCACGATCTTACACTTCTTCGAATAGATGAGGGCTATTTCGAACAATCAGAAGAGCAAGTAATTTTTTGGCCTCAGTACGGTTCAAAGACAGATGGTCCAAGCAATAGACAATCAGGTTGGAAACTGAAGAGAAATGCAGATTCTTTATGGGACGTGGTGACCTGCTTAGCAAATTATAGACAGGTTTCAGGTGTGAGGAGGTCTTCAAACAACTCATTTATTTCGACTTTATTCGTCACAACTCGAGGCCGAACGGGACCTACTTCACGGTCGGTCATAGCAGGTCGGGTTCGAACAGCGCTATTGGCAGCTGGAATAGAAAATGCAGCAGGCGGTGCCAGATCAGCAGTAGCTACATCAAGGCTCAATGAAAGTTTACCTCTGGACGAAGTGTTAAAGAAAGGAAACTGGAGGGGATCCAGTAACCATTTTAAGCATTACTACAAAGAAGTCAAAAGTACTCCAGACGTTGTTGTCAAAAGAGCGGTACCAATATTTAGTTCCTTTATTACTGTTTGAAGTAAACAGATAATCTTGCTGTGACATAAGTTTTTTTTTGAAAGACTAATAAGTTTAGTTTCATGTTACTTACCTACCTACCATCCATTTGTTCAATGACTTAGTCAGGCAGAATGTTCTTTATGTTTATATTATTATATGTTTTCAGTTTACTGCCATGTTACGCCAAAATGTTCAAAACATAGATAACTATCATTAATAAATATTTCTAAATCGGATCTACGATTTCTCGATTCGGAGATTTATAGGCTACACACATTTTCACAGTACGCCCCCCTAGCTGGCAGAACATAAACAGATCTCAACGGTCAGGCCGTAGGCACAGAGCCGAAATAGAACAATTTCCCCCCTGAAGGGAAGAAAATTGATATTTCGGGTCTTGCCATAGGCCTGACCGTTGTGAGTGGTATATTCCCCCTTTCCTCTCGACTTTACTTACCCCACTCTAGCAACCCAACCAATATGCCAATGAGTATCCCCCACCCCGCACCATGGCTAGCCGGCAAGTGGCAAGTTTCTCGCTTGTTCTTCAGTACCTTTAAGTCGGCAAGGAATTGGCTAGGTCTAGCCTATGGCAAGACCCGAAATATCAATTTTCTTCCCTTTAGGGGGAAAATTGTTCTATTTCGGCTCTGTGCCTACGGCCTGACCGTTGAGATCTGTTTATGTTCTGCCAGCTAGGGGGGCGTACTGTAAAAATGTGTGTAGCCTATAAATCTCCGAATCGAGAAATCGTAGATCCGATTTAGAAATATTTATTAATGATATGTTTTGAACATTTTGGCGTAACATGGCAGTAAACTGAAAACATATAATAATATAAACATAAAGAACATTCTGCCTGACTAAGTCGTTGAACAAATGGATGGTAGGTAGGTAAGTAACATAAAACTAAACTTATTAGTCTTTCAAAAAAAAACTTATGTCACAGCAAGATTATCTGTTTACTTCAAACAGTAATAAAGGAACTAAATATTGGTACCGCTCTTTTGACAACAACGTCTGGAGCACTTTTGACTTCTTTGTAGTAATGCTTAAAAAGGTTACTGGATCCCCTCCAGTTTCCTTTCTTTAACACTTCGTCCAGAGGTAAACTTTCATTAAGCCTTGATGTAGCTACTGCTGATCTGGCACTGCCTGCTGCATTTTCTATTCCAGCTGCCAATAGCGCTGTTCGAACCCGACCTGCTATGACCGATCGTGAAGTAGGTCCCGTTCGGACTCGAGTTGTGACAAATGAAGTCGAAATACTAATAATTAACGTCTTTTATTTGTAATATTCTTACAGGAGGCGAGATTTAGATTATATATCTATTCTACCATCTAACCCCCGTAACAATACGATGCAGACGATACACAGTTAGCATTTAATTTTGACTCTAGCAACTTCAATGAAATTTCTTATAAACTTAATGTCGACTTAGCTAATATTGATAATTTCTGCAAACGGCACTCACTGAAAATAAACCCTACTAAATCGAATGCTATTGTCTTTAGTCCACATAATTTTCCAGTTAATGTTGTTGATCTAATCCAACTGTCTGTGAATCATACTGTCATACCCTTAGTTAACGAAGCAAAAAACCTGGGCGTTATTTTGGATAAAGACCTCCGTTTTAATCAGCACGTGAATGCCACCCTTAAATCCACATATATATATCGTTAAAATTATTATATTCAAACCGGCACATTCTTAATTTCAAAACGCGGAAAAAACTTGTTGAGAGTCTTGTTATGTCTAAAATATTTTATTCGCTGGTTCTTTATTATCCTTGTATTGATTATAACACTAAATATAGACTGCAGAAAATCCAAAACAGTTGCTGTCGGTTCGTATATGGCCTCAGAAGGTATGATCACGTATCGTCTAAGATAAAAGAGCTAAAATGGCTAAAACTTGATAAACACTATACTTTCTCTTTGGGTGTATTTGTCCATAAATTGATTTCCGCAAGGTCACCCATTTATCTTATGGACAAACTTGTACCTCGTGGTCAAGTCATTTCTAGAGCCCTACGACATAACCATCTCTTCGGTATGCCATTCCACAGAACATGTATATTCCGAAGATGTTTTACGTACAATGCTATTAGGACTTACAACTCTGTCAACCAGGTACTCAAGTCCAAAAGCTTACCTCTTTTTAAAATTAACTACAAATCTGCTCTTTTGGAATTGCCTTTTTAAAAATCCCTGATGATTAGCCGACTGATTTTGTAGCTTTTGTAAATTTTCCATGCTTTATACATTCTGTAATTGTTCATTGTTTTCTTTTTATTTTTCTGTACTGTACTATTGTCCTTATTATTATTATTATTTTTTCACTTCGTTTTTGAGGTTAAGTGGTAGAGTAGCCATGTGGCTAAACTTCGCCTCAATTCGAAGGTTTCAATAAAGACATTTATTATTATTATTATATGTAAAAAAAAGAATTTGTTGAAACTTAATAGGCACCTGTATACAATAACTACAAAATAAAGTGTAATCCAAGTAAATACATAAGGAAAATATGAGGACACTTATGGGTTACAACGGATTTCGCTGCTGATCAAGAAGAACTTCTTTCACTTTTTTCTTGAATTTGGATAATGGATTGGTTTCTTTTAAACTGCGGTCTAAAGAATTATATGATTTGATCGAATTGTAAATGTATGTATTCTGAAATAGAGACGTGCTGTGGCGTGGAATTGAAAAAGTCTCTCTATATCTAATATTAATACGATGCATAACCCCTCTACGTATGAATTTGTTTACTAAATATGACGGTGTTTTTGAATAAAGAACCTTATGAGTCAGATTTAGGAGCTGGTACTTATACAATTTATCAATTTTCATCCATTTGAATTCATTAATGGCATTCGATATATGATCATATTTTCTGAGATCATTTACAAGTCTGCAACATGTATTCATAATACTTTAAATACGATTTCTTGTTATAATATCTAAATAGGGATAGTAAACCACTAAGCAATACGATATCTTTGAAAACACGAAATATTCACACAATTGCTTTCTCGCAGATTTATGTAATATAGTCTTATTTGCAAATAAAACTCTGAGAATAGCGTAGCACTGAGTAACTAGATAGTTCACGTGTGCAACAAATTTTAAGTCATCATCCATTATAATACCTAGGTTTTTCGAATGATCCACAGGAGTTAATTTATTACCTTTTAAATGTACGTCTATGTCCTTTTTTAAGGTATTCTTTTTTGTTCTATTTGCGTATACCAACATATTTGTCAAAGGGTTCAAACGAAGATTATGACTACTACTGAACTTTTCAATTTGGGCAAGATCTTGATTAATTTTATTATTTGCCGTTTTCCAAGTCATTACTCCTAAATGAATAGAAAATTTGAGTATCATCTGCAAAAAATTGTATGCTGCATGATTTTACCTCTGTTTCTAAATGTGAGATATATAATGAAAATAATAGCGGTCCTAAGACTGATCCCTGTGGTACACCAGAACAAATTTTTTGTTCCGTAGAGTACTGTTGATTTAGACGAACTTTTTGATACCGATTTTCAAGGTAGGTTTGAATAAACGAAAGAGGTTTTTCAGAAAATAAATGAGTTGTTTGAAGACCTCCTCACACCTGAAACCTGTCTATAATTTGCTAAGCAGGTCACCATAAGGAATCTGCATTTCTCTTCAGTTTCCAACCTGATTGTCTATTGCTTGGACCATCTGTCTTTGAACCGTACTGAGGCCAAAAAATTACCTTGCTCTTCTGATTGTTCAAAATAGCCCTCATCTATTCGAAGAAGTGTAAGATCGTGGACCCTCCTTCCAGACAATAATCGTAGAAGTATAGCGAAGTGTCTGGAAACCTGGAATAAGTTGTTGATGTCTGGTGGATGACATCGTATCCATTCTAGAAGTTGCATGAGCAAACTTCTTCGAAATGTGCAGATGACACAAATATTTGGCTACGTCGATCGCTCTCGGGTTATTGATGGACACCTCCTTGCTTTTAGCCCAGACACACCAGGTTTTCCATGCCGTCGAGTATGTTTTTAGGCTCGAATTTCACCAAGACTCCTTTAATAGCCTGGTCTCGCTCTCCGACCAATTTTTTAGCATTCAAGCCCACCCCCTGTTTTCCATGCCTCCAAATATATAGTAAGTTGTCGGCTCCCTGTGGCGGCCGGTTTGTTTGCAGATCCAGAAGATATTCCTGTAGGTTCGCTATTATCAGGGGTGGGTCTGTAGCTCTTTTCTTGAGGGCTGGTCGCCAAAAGGCCTTTTCCCATCGTGGGACTATCAGAATGAACGTTCCTCTGCATCGATCCAAATGCTGAAGGACCCGCGGAATCAGGGGAGGTGGAGGGAAGATCCATGCGAGCTCGTAGTTTCATTTCCTGGTAAACGCGTTCACAAACTCTGCTTTTTGGTATGGTAACTGTGTGACAAATCGTGCAATCACCGCGGAGCTTTCTGTTGCGAATAGATCGATGGATGGCGTTCCCCACTTCCGGAATATCATCTTTCGAACGTGACTCGATAGGTGCTAATCCAGTAGTCCCTTCCCTCTAGACAAGTGATCCGATACTGTGTGCCAGGTCACTTTTTGCCAGTGAGTCTCTCAAACCACCCGTCTGAGCATTCGAGAATACTGTTGGGTTAACTCGAAGGCAGTTGAAAACTGGAGATGCATGTAGTTTCCTATGGACTTCATTATAACGAATTTTATTCCAAGAAGCCTCTCCAAATCATTGACATGCTATGCCCTGCAATTAAATTAGCTGTTCAGCTTCAGGAATAGTTGGTTCGGTTTCCTTTGTCACGGGGGAGAAAATCGTGAGAATTGTTTACTTCTGCCTCGAACGGCAAGTTCAGGTCGGGGCTTGGTGCCGTCCAGCTGACAGTGTCGCTTGAATTTTTTTTATTTCCATTGAGAGTTTGGAAAATGCTCTCGATTATTCCTTCCAGCTTGCTCAGTCTCGATTCAATGTTGTCATGATTCGGGGATAACTGACGTTTTGTGTTTCTGGGTCGCTTGACCGGTCGAAGTGCCTCGCAGATATCCCAATTTAAGAGAGCCAATTTGATGTTTTTGTGGGTCTTTTCCCCCAATTTTATTGAGAGCCTTATGGTCGATGTTTTTTCCCAATAGCTTTTCCTTTGACCGCCATCCGTTTGGTAAAGTGTCTTCTATTAAGAGCTTGATTTTTTCCAAAACCTCCTCATCTCCATTTCCACAGCTTCTCAGGAACAGCCCAGCATAATAAATTCAGCTGGAGTTGCCATCTGAAGATGGATTACAAATTATTGCTTGCCTTGTAAGCAATTCGATTCTTAACCAGATAACTGCTCTCTGTGATTCGTCATAGGTTGGTCGAATCAAGTGTGCGGCCGGTCGGGCCAAAGTGTGCGGTTGGTCGGGACAATTTTTCTTCCGATCGGCCGCGGTTTAGTCGGTGGTCGGGCCCCAAATTCATCAGACGGTAGGATCAATTTCTGTGTCCACCCGGTTCAAGGTCCCGAACAGCTCGGGCCAAACTGCGGTGCCGTTTGAAACACATGTTTGCATAGCTGAGTGTGATTGACTCGAGCACTGGTTAGACGGCCATAAAACTGAATCACTGTATATATCCGTACGTCTGGGCATGGCCTGAGAGCATAGGAAGATATACGTCTGATTCTCGTAGATTAATTAGCCGTGTTGAGAATCGAACGTTGCTACTATATCTAAATATCTAAAACAGAGAAAATTACATTTACTCATAGATGGGATGTTACCTTGATTATCTTAATCCTAATACAAACGGTATACAACGTTAGTTCTCACGCGTCACTTCTGCGCACTCACGGAACACCGCTCACTCGCTGTAAATAAAGCGTACTGAAGAACAAGCGAGAAACTCACCACTTGCCGGCTAGCCATGGCGCGGGGAGGGGGATACTCATAGGCGTAGGGGTTGGGATGCTAGAATGGGGTAAGTAAAGTCGAGAGGAAAGGGGGAATACACCACTCCGAACGCTGTAAATGAAGAGGGTAATCTCAACGGTCAGGCCGTAGGCACAGCGCCGAAATGACTATTTAATTTTGTGAAGTACTCTAAATGTGGTGGTAATAAATGATTTTTTAATTTGAATATGAAAATGAGAACTAAATAATATATGAAATTTTTCACATCCAACCACTGCAGTTCTTCTAACATAGACTTAATCCTAGTATATTTGTTTTTATTTAAAATGATTCTCAGCTTTATTTTGTAGAATTTGTAATTTTGAAAATATGTTTTCATTTGCTGTAAACAAGATGGTTGAACATAATATAAAAAATGGGGAAGAATTATATTATATATATATATATATATATAAAGTGAAAATTATCATGCGGAGAAAGGTATATAACAAAAATAGAAAAATAGTGGGCAAAATCCGCAAAAAGTGGATTCGAGCAGAAAATAGGATAGGTAACCTGAGCGATACGTATTTCTGCTGGTTGGCTTCATCAGGCCCGAAATGAATGCACATATATATAAATACACATTGGCTCTTGTTGTGGACTTCGTGTGTCTTTTTTTCCTCTCCGTCTTCGTTTCCTCAGGTTACACCCGTATCCGGATGTGTGGACATGTGTATCTACTTTTGTAGTTGCATATGTGCATTCATTTCGGGCCTGATGAAGCCAACCAGCAGAAATACGTATCGCTCGGGTTACCTATCCTATTTTCTGCTCGAATCCACTTTTTGCGGATTTTGCCCACTATTTTTCTATTTTTGATATATACAGGGTGACTTTGAAGTTGAGTCATTAATTTTCAGATAATGATTGTAGAAGGAAGATAAACAAAAATATGTGTGTAAAAATAAAAAAAAAATAAAAAAAAATTTTTACCTTGTTTTATAAAGTGTCCTCCCGACAAGTATTTCAGTGCGGACCTGTATTTGATCGTGAGGTCCCCTGTGAGGTCTTAAGTCACCTGATTCACGAGCCCGTTGTACTACATTAACAAATGCACGAGGGGTTGGTTGCACTCGATTGGGAAACCGATCCGCATAAACATGTGCCATTTTTTATTTCGTTTGAGCCACGCAACAGACACTATTCACACGCGACTGACACTGATTGTATGTAAATTGTACAAACATCGTTCCAAATTCTTTCGCTTTTTTGTTTCCGATGCGATGAACCGGTAAGGCGGATTATATCCGTTGTTGCCAAACACGAGCACATGATATTGAGACAGGGCGGTACTCAAACTTCCAAAGGGCTATAACTTTGTTACTTTAATTTTGCCAGAAAAATGGTAAAGGAAAAAAACATTTCTTTTGATCAGATCTACTCACTGTTAAAATAAATGACTCAACTTCGAAGTCACCCTGTATATATATATATATATATATATATATATATATATATATATATTATACACATTTTTTTTGGAATACATACTAAGATTATGGGAAAGTCTATAGAAGTAATTTATCTTTTTCGATATCTTTGAAATAATGTATTCATAATGTTCTGGAAACAGTAGCTTAGATCAGTTAGCTGAATAGATAGCGAGCTCGCGAAATTAACCAATTAAAGTGTTCCGAAGCATAATTAATTTGTGGCTCCTACTACAAAGTATCGACCACGATCCTGAACGCATAGTGAGTAGAAGTACTTTCTATACTAAGTGACATATAAATCCGAACACCCCGTTTAAATGGTTTTATTTTAATAAAAGTTGGTGAATGTATTTATCTTACTGTAAATAACAAGTGAAGAAATTTTCAGCCAGTTGGACATTCCTGTTTTTATACTGCTTTTTTTTTAATTTACTAATGCTCTAAAAATGAATATTTCAGCCGCAGTAAAGAATCAACGTTGGCGGATTTTGGTTCTTGACATCCTTTACGATCGGTTCGATGCCTAGAGTACGGAGACCTGTACGATTTCGTCAACTTAGTGAGTTTGATAGGGGCCGTATAGTGGGACTTCGGGAAGCTGGACTTTCTTTTCGGGCAATTGCAGTTAGAGTGCAGAGAAGTGTAGACACTGTGGTTAGGTGTTGTTAGGCATGGCTTCGAGAAGGCCGTACGCAAAGAGCAAGGGGCACTGGACGCCGCCGTAGAACAACAGACCGTGAAGATCGCCGCCTAAGATTATTGGCCTTAAGGGACCGTTTCTCCACTACCAGGTCCGTTGCAAATGAATGGTTTGCAGAACATGGAAGACCTATTGGCATGCGAAGTGTTTACCGACGAATGAGAAGGTTTGGCTTGTTTTCATACCGGCCACACTGGGTCCTCCCTTTAACTCGAGAACACCGACGTAATCGCCGTGAGTGGTGCAGACAACGGTCACTCTGGGATCAGGAATGGAACAGTATTGTCTTTAGTGACGAGTCTCGATTTTGTTTAGATATGCACGATGGTCGTACCAGGGTTAGAAGGCGACATGGTGAAAGGAGGAATCCACAGTTTTCACACTGTTGGAGTTATGGTTTGAGGTGCTATAGCTTATGGTTCCAGGTCACCTTTAATCTTCATCAGAGGTAACATGAACGCGCAGCGTTATATCCACGAAGTTCTAGAACCCCATCTATTACCCTATCTTGACACCCTGGCAGATCCAACTTTCCAACAAGATAATGCCCGGCCACATGTTGCAAGAGTCACAATAGACTTCTTTCAACATAATGATGTCACATTGTTACCATGGCCACCAAGATATCCCGACTTACCCCCAATTGAGCACGTGTGGGATATGATGGGTAGGAGATTGCTCAATTTGCAACGTCCTCCTCAGACTCTAGAAGCACTTCGAGAGGAGTTGGTGGTTGCCTGCAATGAGATACCACAGGAGGACATTGACCACCTGATCAGAAGCATGCCTAGGCGCGTTGGAGAATGCGTAGCACATCAGGGTGCATCCACACATTATTAA